GCCTAATCAAAACTCATCTGGTCACAGAGGGTCAAAAGAACAGCAAGAATGCCTTCCAATTTCTGTAATTCAATAGGACAACTCTGTTTCACACCAATTAATTCAAAAGTGCTAGCAGAAATGAATGTTTTTAACAAACATAAAAAGTGACAGATGAAATGCTGGATATGCCAACTGCTCATATAAGACATACATTATAATATATTTGCAAAACTGTGCCCCATAAACACAGATATTGATAATGTTAGCTAATCTTTAATTTATTCATGGACAGTGTGCATGAGCAATTCTGGGGTTCCCAATTCTATTTCACTGATCTGTATGTCTGCCTTTATGTCAGCAATAGACTATTTTGATTGTTGCAGCTTTGTACTAAAATTATGAAATCATGTAGGATGCCCTGCAATTTTATTCTTGTTTTTTCCAAGATACTTCTAAAGCCAGGTAGGGTGGTGCTTGCCTCTAACCCCAGCTCTTGGGAGCAGAGATAGGTGGAACTCTGGGAGTTTGAGGCCAGCTTGATCTATATAGTGAGTTTCAGGACAGCTAGAATAGACTTTGCTATTTCTGTGCAAAATGCCACTGGGGTTTGGATCTGATGTGCATAGAACTGATAGACTACATTCAGGGATATTCTCATTTATTAAAACAAGTCTTTCAGGCAAGCTGGCTCATGCCTATAAATCCAGCCACTCAAGAAGTTGAGGCAAGAGTATCAAGTTCTAAGAGTGCCTACCACAACCAATTCAAGGCCAGCCTGATTAATTTAGTGACATCCTGTTTCTAAATAAAAGAATAGAAGGCAGAGCTTAGAGTACAGTTCAGTGGTAGTGCATTGCTTACCATGCACAAAGCCCTGGGTTCAATCCCAGTACTGCAGAACAAGAATAATAATGAGATTAAGTCTTCCAACCCATCAACCCCAATGGCTGTCATTTCTTGTCTTCTTTCATCATCTCTTATTTGGTAGTTTTCTGAGTGCAAGTCTTTTATCTCCTTGGTGGAGTTAATTCTAAGTTTTTTTTTTTTTTTGGTTTTTTGAGACAGGGTTTCTCTATGTAGCTTTGCACCTTTCCTGGATCTCGATCTGTAGCCCAGGCTGGCCTCGAACTCACAAAGATCCGCCTGGCTCTGCCTCCCAAGTGCTGGGATTAAAGGCGTGCACCACCACCTCCCGGCTAATTCTAAGTATTTTATTCTTTTGGGTGCTTTCATAAATAAATACTTTCTTCATTTCCTTTCCAATTGTTCACTGTTAAGGCTGGGACTATTGCTCAGGGGCTGAACACTTGCCAGGCACGCATGAGGCCCTATGTCCAAGCTCCACTTTTGTCAGGAAAAAACGAAAATCCAATTGCTCATGGTCAATAGTAGTATACAGAAATATGGCTCGCTTGTGCTTGTTCATTTCATTAGCCAACAAATTTACTAGTTTTGCTCATTTAGTTCTGAGAACTTTCTGTAGAATATTAAGGATTTTCTATGAACAAGTTCATGTCATCTACAGATATGTTTAGCACCCCATAATTGGGCACCTTCAATTCATTGTCTATCCCAATGTCTCTGTGTAGCACTCCCTGTCTCACCTTGCCATAGCTTCACATGATTGCTTGGAAGAAATTGATGGAATCTGGAGATTGGAAGGAAAGGGAGACAGAACCTAGAAACACAGTGAGGTGGAAAGAACACTTGCTAAGATCCTGACACTTCAGCTCACCCAATTAGTCTTCCCAAGCAAGGTGGGAAGGTGTTTATCAGCTGTAGGAGTTTTCTGGTAGAAATTTCAGGGTCACTTTTGTATAATATGGTATCTTCTGCAAATAGGGAAAGTTTGATTTCTTCCTCTCCAATTTGTATCCCCTTGATCTTCTTTTTTCTTATTGTTCTAGCTAGAACTTTGAGTACTATATTGTATAAATATGGTGAGAGTGGCCAGCCTTGTCTTCTTCCTGATTTTAGTGGAATCGCTTTGAGTTTCTCTCCATTTAATTTGATCGTAGGTGT